TTGCAATATATGAAGCATTAAATGAAAACCACTATCACAAAGAAATTTCCCCTTTTCATTCCAGCAATATTTTCCACATTCTTGGTATACCTGCAGACATGACTCTCAAAAATCAAAATTTCATGATCTACTGTGTTCACTATTACTTTATACATACTATTCTTAGCTCCTATAAGATTTTGAGATGTTGAGGACAATCTCAGATTTTATAATATTCCTCTTAAATTTTCCGTGTGACTATGTTATGCTAGGCACATGGTGGATATCCTCAAGGTAAAAATCAGGATGATACCCTAGGGAAAGGGGAAGAAATCAAAGTTCAACAATGTGAGCTTGCAGAAAGATGGTCTCCGGAGATACCATGGCATTTAGACTAACGAAGAGTGTTCCCTGTCTCAAAGGTTGTAGGACTTCCATGTCCCCCTTATTAATGAAAGATTACACAGAAGAGATCAGCCAACCTGAGACCAACTCACCTGAAGATCCTGTTCCTGTTATTAACAGTACCCAAGGATGTTTCCACTCAGAATTCAAACATCAAAAATATTAAAAAGTTGGTAAATATTGCAGGAGTAGACAATAATTTTAATTAATGTGACAGGAATATATTTCTTTCTTAGAATCTAGAAAAACTCAGAGAAAGGTGAGAGGGAGGGAGGGAAGATGGGAGAGAGGGAGACAGAGAATCTGACTCCTAGGAACAAAATGTAGGGTTTATGTAAGCCTCCATGACCTCAGGAACTTAGACATTAGAGAATTTGTACTGAACTATTTCTTTTTTACATCAAAAAACTCAGCAATTAGATTGAATGCTAGCTTGTGTGGCATTTTACAAGACTGTAATTTCTTCTTCTTCTTTTCTTTTTTTTTTTTTTGCTTGTACTCGTTCTATTGGGTATTTGCATTTACTTTACAATTCTTCCACTAACACTCATGGGCTGATTCCTATAACAGGAGTATTTATCTTTCTTTTTTAAAATTTTATTATTTTATGTTAATCACCATACATGACATCATTAGTTTTTGATGTAGTGTTCCATGATTTGTTGTTTGCATATAACACCCAGTGCTCCATTCAGTACGTGCCCTCTTTAATACCCATCACCAGGCTAACCCATCCTCCCACCCCCCTCCCCTCTAAAACTCTCAGGTTGTTTCTCAGAGTCCATAGTCTCTCGTGGTTCGTCTCCCCCTCCGATTCCAACCCCCTTCATTCTTCCCTTCCTGCTAACTTCTCTCTCTTTTTTTCTTTTTTTAACATACAATGTATTATTTGTTTCAGAGGTACAGGTCTGTGATTCAACAGTCCTACACAATTCACAGAGCTCACAATAGCACATACCCTATGCAGTGTCTATCCCCCAGCCACCCCATCCCTCCCACCCCCCACCACTCCAGCAACCCTCAGTTTGTTTCCTGAGATTAAGAATTCCTCATATCAGTGAGATCATATGATACATGTTTTTCTCTGATTGACTTATTTCACTCAGCATAATACCCTCCAGTTCCATCCATGTTGTTGCAAATGGCAAGATTTCATTCCTTTTGATGGCTGCATAATATTCCATTGTGTATATATATATATATATATATATATATATATATATATATATATAGCACAACTTCTTTATCCACTCATCTGTCGATGGACATCTTGGCTCTTTCCATGGTTTGGCTATTGTGGATATTGCTGTTATAAACATCAGGGTGCATGTACCCCTTCAGATCACTACATTTGTATCTTTGGGGTAAATACCCAGTAGTGCAATTGCTGGGTCGTAGGGTAGCTCTATTTTCAACTTTTTGAGGAAATTCCATATTGTTTTCCAGAGTGGCTGCACCAGCTTGCATTCCCACCAACAGTGTAGGAGGGTTCCCCTTTCTCCACATCCCCGCCATCATCTGTCATTTCCTGATTTGTTAATTTTAGCCATTCTGACAGGTGTGAGGTGGTATCTCACTGAGGTTTTGATTTGTATTTCCCTGATGCCGAGTGATGTTGAGCACTTTTTCATGTGTCTGTTGGCCATTTGGATGTCTTCTTTGGAAAAATGTCTGTTCATGTCTTCTGCCCATTTCTTGACTGGATTATTTGTTCTTTGGGTGTTGAGTTTGGTAAGTTCTTTACAGATTTATCCCTGGGCTGCAAGGTTGGTTCAACATCCACAATTCAATCAGTGTGATACAATACATTAATAAAAGAAAGAACAAGAACCATATGATCCTCTCAATAGATGCAGAAAAAGCATTTCACAAAGTATAGCATCCTTTCTTAATCCAAACTCTTCACAGTGTAGGGATAGAGGGTACATACCTCAAATGTCATAAAAGCCATCTATGAAAAACCTACAGCGAATATCATTCTCAATGGGGAAAAACTGAGAAGTTTCCCCCTAAGGTCAGGAACACGGCAGGGATGTCCACTCTCACCACTGTTATTCAACATAGTATTAGAAGTCCTAGCCACAGCAATCAGACAACAAAAAGAAATAAAAGGCATCCGAATCGGATTTGAAAAATCAAATAAAGCACAATAAATGAGCATGTGTTGTGGATTATCAGCCAGGAATATTGGCGTTAAAGAAGGTTGGATGCTGGGGAATGGCTAGGGTTGGGCTTCAGGTAAAACCGAGCAGAGACACTGAGATTTGGTACATTAGTGAATGGAAAGAACTCCCGAGTTTTCAGAGCTAACGACTGTCCTAATAGCCACAGTAATCAAGGCAAGAAGAATTTGTTGTTCTCCCAGTGCAAGCTAACAGTGCTACAGGGAAGCGGGCTGTGCGTGGCTGCTATGGTCCACCTGAGTAATGATTGCAGTTTGCTAAGATTCCATACGTGCCAACCTGAGATTCGATAGGGAAGACAGAAAGAAGCAGATAATAATGAGAAGGCAAAGGGGGAAACAGAGAGAATTTACTGAAGGACAGTAATTGGCAAGATAAGATGAACAGAGTCAAGAGGAGATTGGGGAAAGAAAAGTGGGCTTCCCTGTGCTTCCCCAAATGGTACCCACATGTCTATTGCTGCCCACTTTGGCCCTTGATCTGTATATATATATATATATATATATATATATATATATATATATATATATATATATATATATATATATATATATTTTAAAGATTTTATTTATTTATTTGAGAGAGAGAGTGAGAGAGAGAAAGAGCACAAGAGGGGGGAGCGGGAGAGGGAGAAGCAGACTCCCTGCTGAGCAGGGAGCCCGATGTGGGACTCGATCCCGGGACTCCAGGATCATGACCTGAGCCGAAGGCAGTCGCTTAACCAACTGAGCCACCCAGGTGCCCTGTTTTTTATATATTTTTAATAATCTAAGGGTTTAAAATAATATTAATTAGTCAGAGCACTAATAATTTTTTTTACAAGGGTGAGAGTGCATAAACCCACATCTCCTGGAGTCCACAATTTTTAGACTCTGTGCTAAGTACATGAACATCATTTCCTAATTTAATACTTGGACACCAATGCAATATGTATCATCCTGTCATTATTACCGACAAAACTGAGGCTCAGAAAATTTGAGTCATTCACCAAAGATCACATAGTAAATGACAAAGCCTGAAATTGAATTGAAATCTAGGTTTCAAGCACATGCTTCTTTCATTAGCTCTTTGTCACTTTCCCACCCATTCCTTTTCTGTATGTAGAAAATTCATTTTCATGAGTACCAACAAATAGAAGTTAGCTATGAAGGAAATAATAGTTTCTCTTTACCTTGATCTGGGCAGAAAAATCTAAAACGGTGTCTTTGTTTATGATACGCATGCCAATAGCCTTTTTTTTTTTTAATCTAAACATTTCAAATATGTGCCTGTTACTGGTTAATCTATTTTTTTAATTATTGTTAAATGATTAAGATACTTCTGTGGTTATAAACTGCTTGTGAATACAAGATGCTTTGCTTTCTCAAAATAACAGGTACAAATAAAGATTATATGACTCACAACAAGATAATCACATATGTAGCTTTAATGGAAACCGATGTCCCCACTAGAAATTTTCAGGGTGATTGTGTAACCATAGGTGTTTATTGCCATAGTCTCTAGTTTGAGAGGCTTGAGCAAAACACATTTTAAGTCATTCTCCAATTCAGATATTCTATGAGTATTTAATATCATGTATGCTTAGTAAAGTTACCAGATAAAAAGCTAATAGAAAGTTAAAACATATAATTACGGAATCTAGGTGAGTATGCTGAAAGCATCCGTGACACTAAGTGAGAAAATACTTAAGTAGGAAAGGAAACACAGGAGTGAGGGAACAGCATGACCCAAAGGCAACTTTATATATTTTAGCAAGTTGTTACATTGTTTTTGGAACACTGAGGGGATTATTGTAGCATTTGGATGGAATCAGTGGAAAGCTTGAGGATATGCAGCCAGGGCTATGTTCTGTCAACATTCACATAGTGTGTGCGTGCGTGTGTGTGTGTGTGTGTGTGTGTGAAAACTTCAAAATTCCTGTGGTGACTTCTAAAGGCTGTCTTTCTTATGAGTTTCAGTTTGAACATCCTAACTCGAGAGGTATTATTGCCCCTAATGTTTTACTTCTGATCCTTCCATTATAAATCTGAGTGCTAAAATTATCTTCATTGTTATGTTAGTGCTCTGAAAAAGCACAGATCTTCAGAATGATGGAACTGATATATGTTTTCTACAACAATATACAGTAGTTTTCTATCTGTCCCTAAACTTAATTTGTGTTCTGTCACTCAGGATCAACTTCCAAACCCAGCTCATCACTAATAAGCTGTGTAACCTCAAACAAGTTCCTTAACTTATACATGCCTCCCCATCCTTAAGTAAAATATGAGGCTACTTATTTTATAATTCACAGTGTTATTTGAAGATCTGAATCTATATATTTTAAAGTTTTAGCACAATGCCTGCCACATGGTAAATGTCATAGAAATGTGCTATCATTATTATCATCGTTATTATTTTTATTTTATTTCAGGTTTTTCTCCAACTGCGATCATGTTGTTCGCAGAAGGAAATCAGAGTATTGGCGCCACATTCACCCTGTTGGGCTTCTCAGAATACCCACACCTCCAGATTCCCCTGTTCCTGGTATTCCTGACCAGTATGCAATTCAAGAGACTTGGATTTATGGTCTGATATTTACTGTTAAATAAGTTTCTTAGAATTGCTGCAGTAAGATACACAGTCACCGTGGTGGGCAAACTGAGCATGATCATGATCATCAGGGTCAGTCCCCAACTCCACACGCCCATGTACTTTTTCCTCAGCCACCTGTCCTTTGTCGATTTCTGTTATTCCACCGCAGTCACACTCAAACTGTTGGAGAACTTGGTGGTGGAAGACAGAACCATCTCTTTCATAGGCTGCATCATGCAGTTCTTCTTGGCTTGTATATGTGCAGTGACAGAAACATTCATGTTGGCAGTGATGGCCTACGACCGATTTGTGGCCATTTGTAACCCTCTGCTCTACACGGTTGTCATGTCCCAAAAACTGTGTGCGTCATTGGGGTCAGGGCCCTACATATGGGGTATAGTCTCTCCCCTGACACTCACCTATTTTCTCCTGACATTATCCTTCTGTGGCTCACTCTGTCATTGTCTCCGTCTCCTGTTCTGACCCCTACATCAGCCAAGTGCTTTGTTTCATCATCGCCATATTCAAATGAGGTGAGCAGCCTGGTCATCATGCTCACTACTTATATTTTCATTTTTGTCACGGTCTTAAAAATGTCTTCTGCTGGTGGACGCCAAAAAGCCTTCTCCACTTGTGCCTCCCACCTGACTGCCATCACCATCTTCCATGGGACTATCCTGTTCCTTTATTGTGTACCCAACTCCCAAAACTCGTGGCTCATAGTCGAAGTAGTTTCTTTATTTTATACAGTGGTGATTCCCATGCTGAACCCTCTGATCTATAGCCTCCGAAACAAAGATGTGAAGGAGAGTGTCAGGAAGTTAATAAATCACTTAATACAATTTTGTTGAAGATTTGTATTTACAAAAGAGATTTGATTTATTATATGGAGAATTGTTTGATGCTTCTAGTAGAGATGATGGATTCTAATCTTTTCATCTATTCACTGGATTAAAATCTATTGTAATAAACCAGTTATTTGATCATTTGATTTCTATTCACTCCAAAGTTTAGTAAAAGAGCTATGAATCATATGTGAAGTAACATAGTGTTGCAGGTTGAATAGTGTCTCCCCAAATATCCATGTCCAACCAGAAGCTCAGAATGTGGCCTTATTTGAAAATAGGATCTTTACAGATGTAATTAAGATAAGGATTGAGATGAGATCACACTGGATTAGGTGGGACCCTAAATCCAACAAGTGTGTCCATATAAGAGACAGAAAAAAGGACACACAGAGAAGGCTATGTGAAGATTGGTGTTTCTTTGCTACCAACCAGGGGGCTCTAGGTGGATGCAAAGAAGGATTCTCCCCTAGCAACATCAGAGGGAGCATGACTCTGCCAGCACCTTGATTTCAGGCTTTTGGTCTCAAGACCTATGATGGAATGCATTTCCACTGGTTTAAGCCACCACATTTGTGGTAACTTACTGCAGCAATTCTAAGAAACTTATTTAACAGTAAATATCAGACCATAAAATCCAAGTCTCTTGAATTGCATATTGGCAGGGCAAATCATTTTAAAAACAATCTTCAGTTCTATGAAACCAATGAGAATTTTAGGGTTATGGAGGAATTCTGTAAAGTGGTAACTAACTAGGAATGAAAATATGGAAAAATTAGCAATGACCCTGGAGGTGCTCTTTCTAAGACCTGGCCAACTTCTTTGCTCCTTCTTCCAAGAGCCTCTTGTACTTTTATTTAATACAGGAAGTGATGTGAAACATGATGACTTTGAATATCAAAAAAAAATTATTTTACACCAATTTACAAAAGGATTATCAAGGGGACCAAAAACAAAATAAAACAAATTCAGATATTTATCTCACATGTCTTAGAATCTGATGTGTCAAAACTGATTTTTTAAATGCTAGCTATTAACACTGTGAATATTGTAATACATTTCAAGCATAGTTTGTTAATTCCTGTTTTGCTTTTAAAGGTTAATCTTTAGTTAATTACACATTTTGCCTGCTGGCATAGCTTCATCTGCCAGACAAATACGGCAAGGTTGCAATTGTTTTGATTGAAATGTTCTCTAAAACTGATTATTCAGGGGCACATGAGTGGTTCCATTGGTTAAGCAAGCATCTGCCTTCAGCTCAGGTCATGATCTCAGGGTCCCGGGATCCAGCCCCCTGTCGGGCTCTCTGTTCAGCAGGGGGTCTCCTTCTCCCTCTCCCTCTGCCCCTCCCTGGCTTGGCTCCTGCTCTCTCTTTCTCTTCCTCACTCTCTCTCTCAAGTAAATAAATAACATCTTAATTGATTATTCATTTGTTGGTCTTAACCCAGTGATTGACTTAAAATCAAAATATTCTCTCTGTTTATTTCTTGCTAATCATGGTTTGTATCACACAAGGTTCCCAGGATATGAACTGGGCAGAGATGCAACATTGTTGCTCTATATCACCTTAGAAATTAAATGATAATCTCATCTCCAAGAGCAAGTGTGTTTATCTTAAATATGACTTTTTAACTTCATCTTATGCTTTAAAAGTGACACAAACCTTTGTCTTACATCTGAAAGTAAACAATTATAAAATAAATAGGTGTCCTACTTTCAATTTTCCTCAGTTATAAAGTAGGGATTCCACATAACTTTACCATATTATTCTGACCAATTACTAATATACTATATTGCACACTTTCCAGATAATGCAGCTCAAGGTTTGTTCACTCTGGGAAATGAAACAACTTTCTGTTTTAATTCCACCAGGGAGGACTGTATGATTCTCTTTCTCCATGTGTGTGCAGTGTTGTGTTTTTAAAGGATACAAAATATATACACTCCCTCTTCCAAGACCTTTATGACAAAGTAACCATTATCAATCATTACCCTTAAGAATGTATTGATTTATTACATACGTTGTGTTACATTTGTTTGGGAATGGAGAAAGGATGAATTCTCTTTGGATTTAGGTAGTTTGTGAATAAAAGAGGAAAATAGGTGATCAGCAACCATGAAGAGAAAGGCAGAAAAAAAATATGTGAGTATATTCATTTACTTATTTTTAGTTTAGTGGAATATCTTGCCAAATCACCAGAATTTCCATTAAACCAAAGGTATCAAAACCAGGGAGTTTCAAACTTTATTATTCATACAAATTATCTGGGGGTGCTGTAAAGTGCAGATTTTAGTGCAGTGGGCACGTAGGGGGCCTAAGATTCTTCATTTCTAATAGACATCCAAGTGATGCTGGTGATCCCAGCCATTGGACACAGACTCTGGGTAGCAAGACTTTAACCCAAAAGATTTTATTTTAAATAAAGTTCAGCTGGTGTAGACTCATGTCTAACTGTGTATGGAATCCATAGAGAGCCTATAGAATGAACTCCTTGTTTCTCCTTTCTTCCATTGACAACAATTTAAATAATTATTAAAATGATTTTGATTATGTTTAAAATAAAAATGATTTTAATTATGAAATTTTAATAATTGCACAAACTTTATAACAAGCACAATTTTGTAAATATATGAAACTTTTTAGTTAGAGAAATAAAGTTTTCATCACCCTTGTGGTCCTAATATACTCCTTTAAAACTCCTTTGAATCATTCAAATCTTTGCAGACAAAGTTTCTGAAAGAGCGAGCCAGGTGAGGAACAGTAGGATAGGAAGTCAGAAAGGCAGGAAACATGATCAAGCAGAGCTTTGTAGTACATTTTAAGAACTTTGGCTTTTATTTTGAGTGAAATGGAGAAACACCACAGGGGTTTACAAGAGTGATTTGGTCTAACTAAAATTTTAAAAGAAAAACCCTGGCTGATGTTGAGAACAAGCTGTGAGATGACAGAAAGGGTAGAAAAGTTAGAAAGCTGCAACTGAAGCTGCAATTTTTCCATGTAATTTCGAGGAAATTTTAGTCATTAAAAATTGTACACAACACCTGGCATTTTCCTTAATTACCTGTTTTGATGCTTGTGAAGAATGAGTTGCTCATGGTTCTCCAGAGTTTGAGTCCCTAGGGCTACAGACTTAGATATAACAGCCTTGGTGGCCCAGTCATACTCAGCTTACTGAGAAACAGGGGGCGGTGGCCTGTTTCTCTGTAGTAGGTAAGTTCATTCAGGTTTTCTATGAAACTGTGGGGTTATTATTTTCCTGATATGGTAACTAGGATCTTCTTTTATTTTACTTTTCATGTTAAATCACTGTAAATGCTATCCAATTGTGAACAATATTAAAGAAAGGTTAACATGCATGAAATATTTGGCTTTAAGTCAATTTCCAACCATTTTACAAAGAACAGAATTAACTTACCAGCTGGAAATGGATATTTATTCACATCCTCTTTAAATGAGCTGGAAATTGGTATATAAACTTTCATAAATGAGTTAATTCTGAGAGGACTCCTACCTGATAAATCTTGGGACCGTAGACTTATCTATTCAATGCCTGGGCTATAAGAGAAGCTAACCCTTTGGATCTAAACTCTAATAAAGTGTACACTCCACTCAGAAGTCAAAAGGATGCATTGTCCTTCTGAACCACTCAGGAGCTAATCTATTCAGTGAGAGAGGTAGCCTTTACTAAACAAAAGGTGTTAAAATGGGATTGCTATGCTGTTTTCCTAGATTTCTCTAACATTTTGCTTTGACCTTATCATCTTAAAGATTTTAATTGATTTGGTATACAGGCAAAGTATAGTATGTATGTTTTGGGACAAGCATTGCACATTTTTTCATACTTTTTCACTCATTTATGCATTTATGTGCAAACATTTACTATCAGTTTTGTACATGTTACATTACTAGCTAATGTGTGGATGTACACACCGCAATATGGTATAATTATTTCCCTTTTTTTAAGATTTTATTTATTTATTTACTTGAGGGAGAGAGAGATGAGAGAGAGCGAGAGAGAAGGAGCAGTGGGGGGCGGAGGGAGAAGCAGACTCCCCGCTGAGCAGGAAGCCTGATGCGGGACTAGATCCCAGGACTCCAGGATCATGAGTTGAGTCGAAGGCATAAGTTTAACCGACTGAGCCACCCAGGCACCCCTGGTAATTTCTTTCTTCCTTCCTTCTTTTCTTCCTTCCTTCCTTCCTTCCTTCCTTCCTTCCTTCCTTCCTTCCTTCCTTCCTTCCTTCCTTCCTTTCTTCTTTCTTTCTTTCTTTCTTTCTTTCTTTCTTTCTTTCTTTCTTTCTTTCTTTCTTTCTTTCTTTCTTTTCTTCCTTCCTTCTTTTCTTTTTTCTTTCTTCTTTCTTTCTTTCTTTCTTTCTTTCTCTTCCTTCCTTCTTTTCTTTTTTCTTTCTTCTTTCTTTCTTTCTTTCTTTCTTTCTTTCTTTCTTTCTTCTTTCTTTCTTTCTTTCTTCCTTCTTTCTTTCTTTCTTTCTTCTTTCTTTTTTTCTGTGTGTGTGTGTGTTTGAGAGAGAGAGAGAGAGAGTAAAGTGATAGAAGTTTATTACATGAAGATACAGAAAAAGCTCTCAAGAGTGAGAGGGGTCCCGACAGGGTTGCCAATGAGGGCCTTTAGGGTTGGTCTTTTATAGAAAGCTAACCAGGGAACTTAAATCATTTAACATCTCTATTGATAACATCTTCAATGGCTTACTTCCTTTTTAGGGGCTGGTTATTCTTTGTTGGTCACAGGTGATTATCATAAAGACACCCACCCCACAGCCTAGTGCAAGATGCACAAAGTGCAGTGGAAATGCAAAGACATTTCAGAGACTCAGCTCAGAGACTAGGTTATATGCATAGCAGTTATCTGCATGAGGCATGTTCTGTATGGAAGAAACTAAGACTGATAACTCTTGCCGCTCTTTTTTTTCTTTTTCTGTCTACCATAAAGCATCATGCATATTTGTCACTAACTCCATAAAGCTTCTCTTTGACAGAAACAACTTCT